ATTTTATTTCATTTTATTTTATTTTAGTTTTTATATTAGTTTATGTTATGTTATGTTATGTTATGTTATGTTATGCTATGTTGTGTTATGTTGTGTTATGTTGTGTTATGTTGTGTTATGTTATGTTATGTTATGTTATGTTATGTTATGTTATGTTATGCTATGTTGTGTTGTGTTGTGTTGTGTTATGTTATGTTATGTTATGTTATGTTATGTTATGTTATGTTATGTTATGTTATGTTATGTTATGTTATCATTATGTCGTAATTACATTATGTTCTACTATGCCAAAAAAGCCCTTGGAGAACACCTCCCCAGCAAATTCACGCTTGGCCTGGTGCTCCCAAACCCTAAACCATTTCCTCGCGGACCCACCTTGCCTTGCAGGACACCCCGTGAGGAACACTCGGGGCACTCCACCTCATTTCGTTGTGTGGTAGCAGCGCTGTATCAGGCCGTTCACGACGAAACAGCTGGAAGGGCTGGCCGGTGCCGGGGCGCATTCTGCACCCGCCGCGCGCACCGCCTCCCCACAAACTGCCGGCTCAGTATAAACTCTGCGCCGTCATGAGAAGCTCGTCGGCCGCCTCCGGGGTGACAAACTCCAGGTCGCCGACCGCCTTATAGCAAAGATGCCGAAGATCTCGTCGTGTGGTCCGTGGACTGGAATCCAACCTTCACGTCGTGCCTGCGCAAAGTCGTCCCTGAAGACAGCATCGGGGACGTTGGCCTTGGAAGGTACCCGTTCGAATTCGAACCACCAGAAGACCGAGATCATGCCGTTCAATGCCGGATCTTGGCCATATCCTTTGGAGAGTGCCGCCTGTCCCGCCGTGCTGTTTACCGACGCGAATTCCAACAGCGCCGTCCTGTCCCCCATGTTCATCTCCGCCGCCAGCGCCGCCCACGCAGGATATCCTCCGTGTGCATCCCAATTGCAACACGGCACGAATCCCAGCCACGGCGTGGTGGATGCCGCGGTCTGACAACCGGCGCACCAGGGTGTTGCGGCGGCGCCTTGCGCAGCTGAAGCGTCGAGCTTAAGTGCTAGCGGCGCTCGCCGTTACCGAGTGTTACTGCGCACACAGGTGTGGTATGTACAAGCAGCAGATGAGCAAAACTCTTAAGGTTGGGATATCACACTGCGTTTTTAACTAAGCCAATACACCAGGGATATCCTCTCTTACACTTCGGAAGTTTCTGTTCCTGATTGAACACGAAACCCGAAACCCTAAGTTCAAACCCTGAGCCCTAAGCCCTAAACCCCATTAAAGCCACTCGCCCTGAGCTCCTGACTTCTTCTGCATGATGCTCTTGTAGTACTCGCCCAATCCCTCCACTGGGTCCTGTTTGCTCGAAGGGTTTCAGGGCTTCTTTGGAGCTTTAAGAAGTTTAAGCTCAGAGTGTAC